TGTCAGTTGGGTAGGTGGGTGTTTCTGCTGGTGGGTGTTAACGTACAGCACACACAGAGAGATGGAGAGTGAGGAGGACTCCAGCAGCAAAACAACGTTTTCCTGATGTTACGTCGAGCTGCGTTTCCCCATCACATACGGTTTCCCCTGCATCTCCGCACAGCGCAGGCGGCACGAGTCACCGCACAAGCGACAGGAAACGCGCATGCTAGCTAAAGGCGCGCAACAGTCGCCCTGTGCTCGCGCCACAGGGGAACTATGGAGAGCGAGAAGGATCAAATGAAAGGGAGAAATCTGGATGGATGGATGGATGGATGGATGGATGGATACTCTGCCTTTTCAACCTACTGTATTTTATATTTTAAACATTATTTGATGGCCTTTGTGGCAGGGATGGAGATGCATATTTTATGTAACACACAGAGTATAGATCTAGATAGATAGATGGATAGATAGATGTTGCAGTATCTATAACAACCCAAACACACAGGATTTCAGAATTAGACATCCCCAGTTATTAATTTCACCAGATCTGAACGCCCTGTTAAAAAACTTCACATGGCGTTCCACCCTGATGTCATTTAGGTTGAGTTGCAATAAATGCAAAACTCTCTGCAGGTTCTTGTCTTTGTCATCCGCTCTATTCAGATGGCTTTGGAAACACACGGCGAGAAGGTGGGGGCTGGGTGGGGAGGGTTACGGGGGCGAGAAACACAAAAGTAACGCAATAGTTACTTTTATTGTGGAGTAACTCAGTTAGTAACTCGGTTAGTTTTTGGGTGAAGTAACTAGTAACTATAACTAATTACTTTTTCAAAGTAACGTGCCCAACACTGATCGTAAAGCCGTATGTTCGGAAAAGAAGCTCGAGACGAGAGAATGGGAAAATAATGATTTCAACAAAAGTGGCTGAAAAACGAGGAATTCAGAACATGGCTGCACCCTGTTGACGGTGTAGATGATGAAGGATTTTTTCTGTGTTTTATATATATAGGTATGAGAGTCATGGGTACTTGTTGATGGCATTAAAATTATTTCTTAGAGCAATAAAAAGCATTAGTTACTCATTCCTGTATAAACATTCTTCAAAGACTGGGTCACTGACTGCTGGGATGTTTTCCTGATCCTGACGTTTGTGTTTCTGTGTTTTAGGAAAGCTGGAGAAAAGTCTGGAGCCTCAGGTTTCCCTCGGTGAGTCCGTCTCATCCAGGAGCTGCATCACAAATCAGATCTTTCTGCTCAGAACTCAGATATTTGCTGTCCGATCAGCAGCTTTCTGTTGTAATAGAACCGGTTCAAACCAACCAGGTGAGATTGGATTCCCTCCCCGTGAATGAATGTTTCCTCCTGCAGGGAGCGCCGGCAGACCTGGGCGGAGGAGAGGAGGATGAACGCAGAGACCTTCGGCATCCCTCTGCGTCAGGGCCGAGGCCGCGGGGGCTACAGAGGGCGCGGGGGGATGGGTTACAGAGGAGGGCGGGGACGTTCGGCCAGCCGAGGGTCCTTTGGGCCCCCTCAGGGCGGTGGCTACAGGGGAGGTTACCGAGGAAACCAGGCAGGGCGGGAATTCGCCAACTTACCATTCAGGGTGAGTCTTCCATGCTGCAGCATCAGGAGTCTTCCTCCAAACCGTACATCTATCATGCTGTGTGGGGCGTTAAGCTGAAGCAGAGAAGCTAGTTTCACAGTGTTGTTTTTTCGTAGCATAAGGAAGATCAGGAAATTTATAAGGTTTATAAATAATACTGGTAAATTGTTGCCATATTGGTATCAGACACCAATATGGCCAAAGTTTACAAACATCTGAGTATGTTTTTAATTTGATCAGTTTCTTTTGTGTAGTGTCAATGAGTCAGCAGACTCCATGCCTTTAAGTATCGACGCTAACCTGAAATGTTTCTGTCTTCTTATGCAGAAGGACAACAAAGTGGCGGCGTAGTGTCGACAGGAGGCGGCGGCTCTGGAAAGCAGAAACTTCTTCCATAAAACACAGCAAGCTTTGGTTCCGTTCTGTCCACCAAATCCCTGAAGACTGTCTCCTCGTTGTTTCCGTCACCAGCACTGGAGTAGACTCTGAATGCAGCTTAACGTTCCGTCTGTCTCAGACCACCCCGATAATGAAGAGTTCATTAGAAAAGTGATTCCCTCTAAATGTTTTAGCGCCTCGGCTGTGGACGCCTCCTGTAGCTCTATCAGGGTTTGCCTGTAGAGGGCGCTGCACGCTCTTTGTAACCTGGATTTTTCTACTAGTACGGCTGACGCACTGAGCTCCTTCCTCAACCCTTCTTGGAACTTTAGAAGTTCTCTTTTTCACTCGTCTAAAATAACTGGTTTTACTGGTCGTGGTGTTTTTCTTCCTGACTCCCAGTTTTCTGTTTGGGTTTTTCACTGCAGTTTGCTTCAGTTAATCCACACTCAAGATGTTTGGGTCAGAATTTAACTTTCAGAGAAATGTTTAGTAAAGATCTACCGACAGGAGTAGATCTGTACTAAAACAATCTCCATCATTATCTCCAGATAAATTAATTTTATTTAAATTATTAGAAATCTTTCAGATGACCCAAAATAACTTGCTGTAAACCAATGAATCATTTGCAGTTTAAGAGCAATGTTTCCTCCCGTAGGATCGGGTCGTTTAAGCACGTCATCTTTTCAGTTTAGATTTGTGTCCATTTGGATCAGGAAGCTCCCGTAGCTCCGTCTGAACAGGTTTTCTTCCTGGACTCTAAATCTTCCTGGAGCCTCTCGGCCGGCCTCCTTCCTCCCCCCTCCCCATCACAGAAGCCACTGATGTCGCCCGCAGCACTGCACACAGACCGGCAGGAAGTGACGTCGCACAGATAGACGGCGTGGCCGCTTTGTCTGTTTAAAATCTTCCTGCACTTTGCAACAAGTTTAGGCCTGCGGATCTTTTAATGATCAGCAGTCTCTTGAGTAGGTTCCACTGGGCCCGACCCAGACCGCAGCGTCATCAGAACCTCGTAATAATGTCAGTGGAGAATTTAATGTTGCTTCTGCTAGCTTGGATCATTAATGGGTCTTTAACCTGTGATCAGGTATCAGAACTTTCCGGCTAGCGCTCTGACATTTAACGACTCGAATAGCTGATCCAATCAGAACAGTTAGCTAAATTATTTCAGCTCTGAACTCTGTCTTTTTCTGATTCGGACAAACCTGTAGATTCTCCTGGAAAGACTTCCACGATCCGACACGCAGAGCCACCTTTAAACTGCTCAGGAAACGGAGAGGACCAATCCCAAAGGCGGTTCTGTTCAGACGGAAAGAACTGTTTAGAGACATTAAGGTTCCTAACCGAATGTTGGTTTGGGTTTGCAGGGGAACAGTTTTGTTTGGTGGGTTTAGTGACGGGCTTTGGTTCCAGTCTGGACCTACACCTGGTGAAAAAGTGAGCTTTTAAATGATGCATTGTAAAATAAGAAAAAAAATGGAAATAAAGACACTAAGTTTGCAGAAAAGTGCCTTTTGTTTTACTTTAATGGTTCTGTTCTACCAGCTTGAACATCAGAAGCCTGTGAGGTCATATAGCACATCTGAACCATTCAAATCAGAATTTGAGACAAAGTTACCTGGTTAATGATTAACAATAGTCTAGTTACATTTATTTAACTCTTAGGTAAGTCATAAATAGGATGTTATGTTACAGAAGCATGGTGCTGGGTCGGTTCAGTTCTCAGCAGTAGAGCCAGTTTTAATTATAGTCTTTTAGAATTGATTCCTTCGGTACGGAAGAGAAGTAGGGCCACTGAAAAAATAAAGTTAACTGATTTTTAAATTTTATTTCAGTATAATATGAGGAAAAAAAAGTCAGAATCCTGACTTTTTTTTTTAAAGAATTCTGACTTTAATCTCAGAATTCCGACTTTAATCTCAGAATTCCGAGAATAAAGTCAGAATTCTTACTTTAATCTCAGAATTCTGACTTCAACCTCAGAAATCTGACTTTATTCTCAGAATTCCGACTTTATTCTCAGAATTCCGACTTTATTCTCAGAATTCCGACTTTATTCTCAGAATTCCGACTTTAATCTCAGAATTCCGACTTTGACCTCAGAATTCTGACTCAATTCTGTTAGCTGTTGCCATCTCTGCTTTAAAGACTAAAGTAGCTCTCTTGTTTTAATCACCTTCTGCCCTTCCATTAATTAAATAGCAAATTTGTGTTAAATAGCATCACGTAAAAAGTCGCTTAATTCACCGATGTGTTACTGGCCCTCCCAAACAACTCACATCTTTGTCAGTGAAGCTGAGAGCTCCCACATCTCTTCCTTCATGGTGCCCATCTACATTAAGTCAGAATTCTGAGAAAAGGTCAGAATCCTGTGATTATAATTCTCATGTTATACTGAAATAAAATTAAAAAATCTGATTTTTATTTTGTAGTTTTTAATTTTGTAATAAATCGCCCTCCCTACATTAATCCTAGTAACTACCTAGACTCTAGGTAGTTACTAGGATCTATGTCATAGAGGCTATAATGTTTCCTGTGAGAAACAGCCAATCACTGCAGAGCTTGAAAACATTGGGTGGGATGACGTAGTGTTGAGCTGTGCTGTGATTGGTGGAGAACAGTTGGACAGTTCAGGCCTCCAGCCGTCCGCCAGCTGGGTCATCAGAGCAGCCTGGACCTGAGCAACAGGCGTATCTAGCACCGACACCCCGCTACAACAATGGCCCTGAACGCTGACCCGAACTTCAAGAAGCTGGAGCAATGGTACCGGAGCAATGCCAACAGCCTGAACATGAGGGCCATGTTTGACAGCGACCCGGACCGGTTCGGAAAGTTCAGGTGAGACAACCAGAGCGGCGTTATTTGACAGGTCTGGAAGGGCCCGGTCCCCTACAGTAGACCCTGGTTTCCCCGGAGACTCCGTCAGCAGGTTCCGGTGCTCACTAAGCCGCTGTCGGTGGTCCTCCTGGCCGCCACAAGGTCACCTCTCTGCCGCTGGTTTCACCCGTTTATCTCGGCCCAGAAGAACAGTCCCACCCAATCCTCAGCTGCCCTCCCCTCACCACATTCCTCCAGTTAGGATTCGGTCGAACCGAACCAGAGAACCTGCAGTCCCGGACTGTTGGACCCACCTGGCTAACGGTTAGCCCGCGTGCTAATGTCACAGCATCCATTATCGGACTGGGGCGTGTTCGGGTTCCGCGATATTTGAAGGTCTTACTGGGTTTATCATACGAGCCATGAACCGAACCCCAACTCATCAGAACCTATTTATATATGTATTTATACTGTTCCATATATGTTATATTTAATCTGACGCCCACCTGTTCCAGTCCAATCTGAAGTTGCCTTCAGTTTAGGTTCTGTCTGTATCGATCTGGTGGCTCCCCGAACCCAGCAGCTCCCACCTTCGGGTCTGAAACCGGGTCCGAACTGTTTAACCCAGTGGATTGGATCGATTTAAACTAGTTTCTGGTTGCAGAAAGAAACTTAGAACCCAGAGTTCCTGCATTTCTGCGGTTTGTGCATGCAACAGAACAGAACCTTTGGACCGGTCCCGTTAGGTTCTGTTTAAAACCTACTCTATCGGAACCACCGGGACACAATCAGTAGTTTTTATTCTGCAGCGCAGCGGCCCGGATCGCTCCTATCGCTAAAAGGAGACGCACAGGAGGCTTTTTTGCGCATGCGCAGTGCGCTGAGAGGATGCAGCAGACGTGACTGAGCGCAAACTGATGATGAAGAGGAGGAGGAGGATGATGATGCATCCCCTCATGGTGCTGAGGACCACATGTTGAAACTGTATTCTGTTAAAAAGGTTCTGGTCCTTTTGAGCAGTTCTACTGTGCATTTCTGAACGGCTTCTCCAGGGTTCCTCTGATCTGGACCAGAACCAGACCTCCTGCAGGACTTGAATGAATGTTTGACTCCAGAACATGATCCTGTTTAAAATGAACGCTAAGTTACTGCGTCACATGACCAATTTGAAGTTTTGAGTTGTTTTTTTTTCCACAACCATGAAATTATCAGATTATGAGGAGGATGAACTCGTAGCTGAGCTTCTTCAGCTGGTTTTAAAACTGTTTGTCAGAACCTGAAATTTACCCAAGTGAAGGGACCTGTCAGCAGGCTTGGACTGGTAATCTGTGATACCAGGCATTTGCCTGGTGGGCCGGTACCAGTGGTGTCAAAAGTACACACATTTGTTACTCAAGTAGAAGTATAGATACTGCAGTTTAAAAACACTCTGGTAAAAGTTGAAGTATCAATTTGACCTCTTAACTCAAGTAAAAGTGAAAAAGTATGTGCTCCAAAAGCTACTTAAAGTATAAAAGTAGGGATGCACGATATAATCGGCCCCCTATCTGTATCGGCCTTAAAACTAAATATCGGACATCGGCCACCCCACCGATATTTAACCCCATATTTGATCAGCTTCTGAGTTTCTAAAGTCAAAAAAAAAAAAACACACATCCCAATATCTTCATATGCTGATATATTGCCATTTAAAAACACCATATCAATCTCTTTTACTAATGAAATATTGCTATATGTCATCGTTATGCTACGAAATCCCCCGAAAATTCACCAAATTTTGCCCTATTTTTATGTTGATATATTGACGCGGTATCGATCTGTTTTACTAACAAAATCTCACAAGAATTTGCAAAATATCACGAGAGTTTGTAACAGAACGATGAAATTTCACGAGATTTTGAAAGTAAAATAGATCGATACCGCGTTTTTAAAAATCTATTTGATATCAGCATATGAAAATATATTTGAGTATATTATTTTTCAAAGTGTCAGAAATGGATAACAAAACTGCTATTTTCAATGACTACTTATTTTTGTCCAGCTTTAACATCGGTATCAATATCGGTTATCGGCTACATGAGTTTTAAAATATCGGCATATCAGCCAAAATCCCAATATCGTGCATCCCTATATAAAAGTATAAAGTAACCTTTAAAAAAACAGCCAGATGCCACTATATGAATTGAAAGCTCAATTTTTCAACTATTTTGAAAAAATTCTCTGAAATAGAGCCAAGGATGAGGGAGGTCTTGTTGGTCTCCATCTCCCGATACGCTCTCGCCTGTGTCCGACCTTTCAGACATTTCAACATCTTTTTCTGAATCCAACATTGTAGCATGGAATAGATAATTCACTTTAGCAGTTTGAAGAACACCTGCTTGCTTCTGATGATTTCCTTTAGCTAACCGATGAGTGTTTGCGTTATATGACTCATCCAATCACACTAATTTTCACTAGATGTGGGCGGAGCCAATGATCTGCATTGGATGGAGCACATGATGGGAAATAAATATAAACATTAAACTGAAGCCAAACGAGTAACGTTTGTTTTAAAAATGTAAGGAATAGAAACTACAGATACTTGTGTGAAAATGTAATGAGTAGAAGTCAGAGGTAGGAAGAAAAATAAGTGCAGTAACAAAGTATTTTTACTTCATTACTTGACACCTCTGGTCGGTCCTCCTTAAATCATACCGGCCCCAAACACTTACTCTCCGGCCAAAGCTCCTACCTGTGAGAGTGAATAACTCAGGGAGCTCAAGAAGTAATGTGTCAACTTCCTAAATGATGCATGCAGTATATACAGCCCTTCCTCGTCATGCACATCCTTGTGACGGTTGGCATATGGTGTCATTTTCTATTTCTTCAAACTGTAAAATCCTTGCAACAAACTAAATTATAATAAAACTAAAATCCTTTCTCTTATATTTGGAGAATTTATGTTTGAATATTTTGCAAAAATATGTTGCGGTGCATGATGATATTTTGCATCCGTTTACATTATCCCATTTCATTCCCCACATGCCATCTAGACTGGCGGTGAGTGCTGACACACGTTTTTGAAGAACTGCCTGTCTGCCTCTATATTGTATTGTTTTACGTTGGTGTTTTTACAACACTCATGCTTACATTGTAGACCTAGGTTGTTCTAATGAGGGAGCGGGCCAATTCCAACTATTTATCCTCCTTTCGGCTTTACTAACGTCCTCGCTGTGATTGTCTCTGATAACGTTTCCCTGATTGTCTGTCCACAGTACGACCCTGAAGACGGACGACGGAGAGATCCTAGTGGACTACTCCAAGAACCTGATCAACCAGGATGTGATGACCATGCTGCTGGCCCTGGTGAGGGTTGAATCCTACATGCTTTTACTGACTGACACTGATTTCTGTTTTCCTTTGGGCTCTGTGAAG